GGTCTTGTTATTGAGACTGTCTCATTCCTACCCCCTCACCACCACCACCCCTCCCCCGGCCAAAAAAAAAGAAAGATGGGATTTTGACTTGGCTTAGTCCTTGGTGACAAATGCCCTAGGTTTACAAAATAACTACATGCTGCTACTCCCATTTCTTTTTAAACTACATTTTCTGATTATGAAACTATTACAGAGTCACGGCAAAAAATATAAGAATATAAAATACAAAGGTAAAGATTGCCTATGTTCCTGCCAACCAGAAATAACCCCTGCTAATATTTCCATGCATATTGTTTCAGGTCTTTTCTTTATATACACGTGTCCCCACACACTATTATGTTTTTAAAAATGAAATCATACCATATGTACTATCATCACTGCCTGTTCACTTAATATATATATTTATGTGTTTGTTAACATAAATCTCTGCCATCATTTTGAATGGCTGCATAGGAATCTATCAAATGCATACCTCATAAATTATTGATCTGTCCTCACCGATGGACACTTGAGGTTGTTTCCAGCCTTTTGCTATAATAAACAACACTGTACAGAGTATTCTCCCATAAATGCCTTCACCCAGTTGTCCAATTATTTCCTTAGACATGGCACTGATGGGTCAATGAGTGTACAATTCTTTATGCCTTAAATACGCATTTATTCTAAATGCCTTAAAAAACAAAAAACAGCTGGCCTTGCTGAGATGGGAGGGTGAGAGAGGTATTTTAGTAACAGAAAAACACTGTCTTTTAGGCCCAGGCAAACAAAACGGTCTTCTGTGGGCCTACTCCACAGCCTTTCACTCACTCACCTACCAAAGAGCATGTCCATCTTCCTGATAAGAACAACTAAATCCTCTTGTGCAAAATTCGGGGTCAACTAGAGTGTCTATGTGACAGAGCTTGGGGCTTCATCTGGAAATGCAATGTGAAGGATCGGAAGAAAGTGGCTTACAAAAGCAGCAAACTCTCCTGAATGGCTCTCATTGGCCTGCCACTTGCCCCCGCCCCAGTACGTGGGGCAGGCAGTCAGCTCAATGGACTCTACTGAGGACCCACTGTGTACAGGACACTGTAGTCACAAGGGCATAGGAAAGAGAAGGCTCTCCACACCCAACCTGAATCCTGAGGAACTTACAAACAAGATGAAAGTCACAAATAGATGCAAATACACTCAGGTGCCCTCACCGAATACACAGACATAATAAATGACAGCAAAACAGAGACACTCTAGAAAGGGCAGCCACTGGGCCAAGAGAAACTTAGGAGAAATAAAACCTGCAAATGCTGCATAAGGCACAGAGGAAAGAAGCAGACAGAATGGACTCCAGCCCTCCCATTGGCCAGCAGGGTGACCTTGGGCAAGTCACAGAGCCCTTTAAAACAAGGCTACCAAGAAGCTCTAAGCCTAATCACAAGAACCTGATTTAGCTTTGGGTTTGGTATTTTGAGTTTTCCTTCCCTTGCTTGGTGTCTTAATTTCTATTGTCATGATCTGTTGTTTTTTTAAAAAAACCTGCCATTCAATGATCGTCTACCATCTGCTAAACATGTTCTGGGAACCTTCGTTATTTCATACTCACTCCGTCCTGACTAGACCCACGGAGGGTACATATTATTCTTACTTTATGCTCTAAATGTGCTTGAGGTCATATTAATAACTGGAATAAAGATAATTCCTGATTTTATCCACATGGCACAGAGGAATTAATAAATACTTTATGGCTGAATGAATAAGTGCCCACATGAATGAATAAATTAAGCAGTAGACATCTTAACTAAACCCATGAAGTTTTCACTATATAAGACTCCTTCTACACATGTTTTTTTAATATGTTATCTCAGAATCTTTTCTTGAAAATTAGACATACATGAAGAATCAGAAATGAGCGAGACTTATATTCCATCTGTAGGCAATAGTGTAGAGCCACAGCGTCCTGCCCCCATGATCCAGCAACTAAAGGGTTACATCTAGCTCAGCACGGGGCTTCTGGGGGCCTGTTCCAAGGCTAGGGCTATCTTAAATTCTGATGGGTTGGTAGTGAATATATAAGGTATCACTCCTGGAAATAGATAACAACATCCCAGGACTACAGTTTGCTCATCTGTTCAGAATTAGCAGGGTAGCCCAGAGCTGATTGCTAAGGTTTCCTCCAGCTTAAATATTTTCAAATATTGTCAAATGAGAAGACACAGAAAACAATAATGGAGAAAGCCAAGGGCAAAGCAAGCAGCAAGCTATGGACAGTGGTTACTGACTCCATTACAAATTCATCAGAGACTCTTACATTTAGCAGAACTTCGGAATCACTTGGAGCACTTAGTAAATCTCACCTCACCTCACTTGGTGGGGAGAGGAGTTTGTTTGTTGGTTTGTTTTTCTAAAGAATCTGCATTTGTATGAGGTTCCCAGGGTACTTATAAAATTTACTCTTGGTTATCAACCACTGCTCATGAGGGGAAATCCCTGAAGCTGAATGGATTGATGTCTGCAGAGAGGATATTTTCCTCTCTGGCTAGAGGGACTTCTCCCACGCCCCCACCTATTTTCACTCCTTGTGCAAAGGCTACCTGGTTTCGGAGGTTTCCATGACCTGCTGGTCCATCCCTCTAATGGCTGCTGGTGAATTGCGCCATATCCCAAAGTTCTTTCCAACTGTTCTGAGCCTCCTACATCTGAATTCAAAGAAAGGGTGCAGAATCAGCTGGAAGAGAGAAACCAGAGTGGCATAGTCCAGCAGCAACCTTTGGAAAAGCCAATCAAAACTGCTGGGCTCCTGATTCATCCCACAGGATGAAGGAAGGGCCCGCCATATTGGTCACTGGCAAGCAAAGATTAGAAGGAAAAATAAAAGTTGGCAGTGGCGATTTAGAATGCGGTGCTTAAAGGCCCCAGCACCAATAACAACTAGAACCCAAATAAGCGTCTTGGAAAAAGTAAGGCATCTTCTGTTGCCCTCAATCTTCACCTTTTCAGATTCCCTCTTCTTTGTGTTTTTAACAAGCTTTGACAATGATTTGTCCTCTAACCCAGAAAATTAAATCAAATGTCCACTGACTTGGGTAATTATTTAAAAAAATAAACTTTGAGGATTTTTTGAATTATGGTATTCTCTCTCTCTCACACACATACACACAAATGCACACACACATGCAAATGCACACACACATATACATCATGTCTCGACAGAGAGAAACAGATTGTGGAGTAAGACGGGAAAACGTGGGTTGTCATTAGTCTGGCTGTGAAATCTTGGGTAAGTTGCTTCATGTCTAAAAGCCTCAGCTCCTTTACCAGGTACGATGGAGGTAAGAACGGTACCCACCTTGTAGGTTGTGGCAAGATTATGTGAAGTAGTGTATGTAAAGTACTCTGCACATTGCCAGTAGAGAATAGGACCATAATTAATGGTGGTTTTCTTAAAAATGTTGGTTTGCTGCCACTTTAGGGCAGAGAATGTCACGACATACCAATGTTCAATAAATTGATTAGTGAAAATATTATTTGAGTATCTTTTGAATATATATAAGATCAAAGGGAAGGAATCCATATTTCCTTTCTATCACATGATCTATATATACATGTGTATAAACTATTCACTTGCTAACTCAGATTTGGGAGGTCAAGAAGTAAAGTTCAACATTCTTACTAGCATGGCCAAAATAAATGTGAAAAATGTCTTGCAGTTGAACTTGCTGGCAGCTGACAGTCTTGGCACCAGGCAAGCTGCTGGGACTACTGTTTCTAAGTACACTCCTCTCTCAGCCTTCCACCCCCACCCGGGCTCATTAGAGAGTCCAACAGAGAATATTTCAGTTATAGCCCATCTAGCTTTAGTGGTAAGAACACAGCACTGGATGGGATGGATAAAGCCAAAAGTCCTATGACGCTACAACCTATGACTTGTATACTCCAGGTTAGAGGTAGTCAGTATTCTTTTTATTAAAATAATAATAAAAGAACTTTAGAAATAATAACTCTAGAAGGGAATAAGGCACTGCATGCTGTCTTACTAGAAGAACCTAATACAGCTATGAGATGAAACAAATGATCGTTTGGGAAGCAGTTTAGGAAACTCCCTGAATTTTGGTCTTGAATTTTGATATTATTTGGAGATGCTAGAAAGACCCTAAGAACTTATTTAATTCAGAGAAGTGACTTTTAAAAATTAAAAATAGGGAGAAGGATGAAGTTTTAGAAACAGTAAGTTCAAGAATAAAAAAAAAAGTATATTAACAACCATTCTAAAACAGAGGACCCAATTGAGAGATGATGTCTAATCATATGCTATCATTAGAGAGAAAGTAATGAGGCTTCCAAAACAGTGAAAGGTTGCTTCAAGACTGCACATCCCTGATGATGGCCAAACATGTCAGCATAAAGCCTCAGAGAATCTGGCCAGGAGAGAAGGACACCTAGTTAAATGGGCACATACACATTTAATAGAAACCTGACAGTGCAACCTACAGTTCCAGCGCTGTATTTCCTGAAACCACAGAACAGTAGCTAAACTAAAAGTGATACGAAAAATTCCAAGAAACACATAGAAGTTTATATGAGTTCCATTTGGGAGACTTTTTATAAACTTACATGGTTAAAAAAAATGAATAGAAAACACCAAGAGAACACAAGCAATTGCTGATTGAGGATATAGCTATAATAAATAGCCTCAAGATATTACTAAAGCTTAACCATAAATATTAGCAACTTCAACAAAAATAGGCAGCTCTGCTCATAGAGGGCTTGGAGGCACTGCTGTCTGAGTTTGAATACTGGCTTTATCACTTATTAGCTGTGCAGCTTAGACAAGTTACTAAGCCTCTCTCTCGCTGTCACATCTGTACCATGGGGACATACCTACCTCACTTGCAGACTGCACACAAGACAATGTAAATGATAGAGCTTTGTGGCCTGCGAAAGATCTACGTCTTGGTAGCATGGCAATTAACCTTAACCCATCTCACAGAAGTAGGCTCTCTGCTTAAGCAAGAAGCAAATACCTGAGGTGTCACATGCATGACTTCCTGTTGAGGGCTCCCTGTGGGGGGTGCTGCTCCTATAGATAATGTGGGGTTTGTTTTGTTCCTCTTCTTCTTGTTCATCAATGGACAGTAGTGGTTCAATAAAATAATCCCCATCATGGGACCGGAATGTGCCCAGCTGCAAATGAAGAAATCAGAGGTTGGTTTAATACAACTCAGCCATTGGAGGAAGGAGAACCAGTGAAACACTTCAAAGTAGAGACGGCACCATTTTACCCAATTGCTTTCTCAGGAGGGCGGCTTAACCTGAAAATGCTGTCGACATATTCAGAGCAGTATTATTGTCACTGTCATATCAGTACCTTATCCTTCAGTCTAACGCTCTCCCAACTGAGCTATTTCGGCGGCCCTAAGTACCTTATCCTTGATTTGACTCTACTTTGTTGCGCCTGCTATCCAAATCTGTCTCTAAGAAATACTTCCTTGGTGCTTAAGTTCTAATCACATACTCCCTTCATTCTATAGGCTGTTGAAAGAGTGTTTCTCTGTGTTACGACAGCCTAGAAACTTAGGAACAAGTGTGAGCTCCAAGGGAAAAGCTGATCCACGGAAGCCTTATTAATTCAAATTCAGGCAGCCTCTATTGGCCACAAGGCACTCAAGGTGGTACCACCTGGACCACTGGCACCTGAGTCTCTCACCACCTCTTCTCTTTGCAATAGGGAGTAACAAGGTACCAAGCTTTGGAGTCAGGCTGACCTAAATTCAGTGCCAGCACCCCACTTACCCACCTGCCTTGGGCAAATTTCTTAACTGCTCTGAGCTTCAGTTTCCTTGTTTGTCAATTTGGGATAAAAATACTGTAAAGAGTTATTCTACAGATTAAATGAGATAATGCATTTAAAGTATTTAGCAAAATGACAACTTATAAGGGCTTAGAACACATTAGTGGCTTTTGGTGGTGTTAGCCTCTAACCACCAAGCATTCTGAGCACCTTGGAAGAGGTAAGGCTTTCTCCTTCTCTTCCCACATACCCACAAGTTTTGCAAATGATAAATGATGCCTCAAGGGTGAACTACCGAAACCAAACACTACAAGAGCACTAAAAAAGTTCCCCATGTCATGCTGGTGGGCAGTGTTTATAGGGAAAAATCAAGCTCTTCTCTCTTCCTCCATTGTTCCTTTTCCCACACTGAGGGAGGAAGAAGAGGAGAAAGGGGAGGAAGAGGAGGAAAAAGAGGAAGGAAAGAAAGGAAAGAAAGCAGAGGTCTTCCACCTCCCCTGGACACAAGGGAAATGGCTGTCCTAATGGTCACAGGCAGCATAAGCATCATCCAGTAATTTGTTAGAAATTCAAAGAATCCTGCTCCACCTCAAATCTGACCTACTGAATCAAAATCAATTTAGGGCCCAGGAATTGGGATTTTAATGAGCACTCCATGGTATTGTTATGCTTGATAAAGCCTGTGAAGCATTAAGCTAAGACATGAGTCCCCAAACCCGACTAAGTGTCAAAAGTGCCTGGGAAGTTTTTTAAAATTGTTGATTTGGGGCATTACCCCTTATCTGCAGATTTGGAATTTCTAGGGGTGAGGTCTAGAAGCTATATTTTTTAACAAGCTCTTTGGCTTAAAGAGGGCACAGCTCTAGTATGGTCAGACTAAGCCACGGAGTAGCTGGTTTCCAGAGAAGTGATTTAACACATTTATTCTCACCCAGGCAGCTCTCTCTGTTTTTAGCACACAACTTTGGTGTTCTCTGAGCACAGAGGATACACACCTACTAGAACAGGCCATAAACACTGGGAAAGATCTGACACTTCTGACTGGCAAAAAGGAAAACCGAGGCCCAGAGGGAGGATGTGACTTGTCCAAGGTTCCCCTTCAGTGACAAAGATGCAGCTGAAGAGTGCCAGTGCTGAATCTAGAACTCAGCTATCCTGACTTTAGATCAGTGCTGTTTTTAAAAAAAGAACTTTGAAATTATCTTTCGGAACATAGATTCAGTCTCTGAATGGTTAAGAGCATGGGTCAGAAAGACTGAGTAGAACCCCAACTCTGCCACTTACTAGCTGTGAGACCTTGAGTGAGTCTCCAACTCTCAAGCCTCAGCGTCCCCATCTGCAAAATGGGTTGTTGTGAGGATTTTGTATGAGATAATGCATAAGTAGTTGTTACAGGGCAAGGCACATAATAACAGTGCAATAAATGGAATCTCTACGATGCCAAATTAATTTTGTTGTTGATTCACAAAATAGTTGCTTGATCAAAGAGTAATCCTTTCTTGGTCAAGGTGAACATTTATTCAAACACAGGAGCTAAGTACCTATAATACACAAGGCTCCAACATGAGAGAGAAGTGAATGGATGTTGACCGTGCTGCCAAGGAGAAAGGGACAGAACACGTGTATCGAGAACTATAAGACAAGGGAGAGAATACTAAGCATCATAAGAAAGATACAGATACGTGTCTATGAAAGTGGAGAAGGAGAGGTGACAGCAGTCTGTAGCACTAGGAAGAGGTTTCCTGGGAAAGAAGATGTGTAAGTTACACTTTGAAAGACGGATATGATTTGAGCATGAGAAGCTGAGTGAGATAAACCAGTAAATTCAAAGGCCCAAAGGCAAGGAGAAGGAGGTAGGGCGAGGATGGAGGGAAATTCAGAGAAAAAAGCAAAAGCAGATTGCCTGACATACAGGATTTGTGGAGGAACGGTGGAGGGACCACCCTGGACATGTGGTGAGAGAGGGGAGAGAAGGTATTCTGTAAAAGGCCTGACGTGCCAGATGGGGTTGCCATAGTTCACTAGGCAGTGAGGAGCTATGGACAGTTAGCGAGCATGGTAGTTATGTGATGTTGTGCCTACTCATCATTCATCTGTTAGTGGTGTGTGGCAGGGATGAGAGAGAAATGACTGGAGGAGAAGCCAGATGGAAATGTTTCTTAGACATCAGTCCCAATGAGAGGGCGCCAGAAAAGATGGCTAGAAATAGGGCAGGGATGCTCAGAGGAGGTGAGAGACACATTTGAGATAGAATTCCTGGAAACTGACACCTTGCTACTGGTCGGGCGGGGTGGGGGAGATTGGCATGGCCCCCTCTAAAGAGTTAAAGATTTACTGGAAGAATTCCTGGGTGGGCCACTAGGAACTTCACAATACTACTGCTTACAAAAAGGGTACGAGGACGCCTTGGGAGGAAAGATAAATTCCAGAAGGAAGACAAAGGGAGCGAGGGTTGGGGCTAGATTAATCCCTGAAGACCGCGTATCTTTAGGATGTATGCCAGACCTTCTTCTCCCCAAAAAGGCAGATTGAAAATGAAACGCAATATAAATGGGTTTATCGTGGTCTAAGCAGTCCTTTCTGAAGTCCCAGCCCTTACAAGAGAGTTACCACTCGCAGTTCCACGTGCGGGTTGCTACCTAAAATTGCCAATAGAAATCAAGAGCCAGCGCAGCAAAATATTTATACAACTGCTGGGGCCCCTCAGCGGGGCGTGGAGGCGGGAAGGGAGGAGTAAAAGCTGTTTACTAACTTGTCGCACCGACGCGGCCCTATCAGTAAGGTTCTGAAATTGGGGGTCACAGTCTAGGGGTCTGGGGGCGTTCTAACGTCCTTGGTTCCAGCGCCTGACTTAACGCACACCTCCGCCGTGACCTGCCGAGGAACAGAAGGATTCCTGCGCTCTGGCCCTAGGTTTGAGGCAGCGATGACTCACCGCAGCACCCCATCCGCCTTTGCCAAACTGCCATCTCCTCCCACCCCCGAACTATCTCAACAACGCGCCCGAGACTCCCGGCGCTTTGCTGGGGGGCTAAAGGAGCTCATCCCCATCCCCGCATCCCAGCGGGCTAAACCTCCACACACCCCGGCTCCGCCCCAGTCTTCAGGCTTGAGCGGCGGAGATGGATGCGACATCAAGACGGAGATCTCTGGACCCACAAACAGCACCGCTCGGAGGGGGCAAAGGAGCACCCGGGGTAAGTATGCATGCTCCCACTTACAAAAGGTGACAGTAGGGAGTGTGGGTGCTTAGGCAAAGAGCTACGCATCACCCGTGCGCAAGGCGCTACCGCCCTACGCTGGGAGCCTGGTCCGGGAAAGTTTCTGCGTCATACGCGCGTGGCAGAAACGCATGTCGCTTGGGAAAGTCAAGGACTACTATCACTCCAGCCAGAACATTACATTGGGTCCTCAAATGTCACGGGGAGGGGGCGGGGGAAGAGAGGGTGGATGCCATGTAGGACCTCCTGGAGGTCAAGCAGGGGGTGCTAAGGAGGGAGTCAGGGTACTAGTTTGGATCCCCTGCTAAGTGCGTATTTTGCAGCGGAGGAAGGTGGCCGCCCTGCCCTCTTGTCCAGCCTCTCTAGGGAAACGTGCGCCACAGGCTCCCTCTTCCGATTCTCTGGAACCCCCATGGGTGGTAGGAACCCCAGAAGAACCGAAATCTTGTCGGGGCTGCCTTTCCAGGTTTTCTCCCACTATTTCTGCGTCTCCTTACCACCCCGCCAGCAGGGTGCAGAGTCGGACTGCGCCGTACCCCCCCCCCCCCTGCCGGTTTCCACCCTAATTCAAAGCAACCAGAGCAGGCTCCGCCCTCTTCCCCGCCTTCGGAGTCCTGGGCCCACCCTTCCGTTCCTGGGATGGGACCTGTTCCCTGTCAATCCTGTTAAGCCTCTGGGTTCCTGCAACTGGGAAAAACACTCTGCGAGAACGCGGGGACTCTAGATTGCGCACCGCCCTCCACGATACAGAGAAGGAACTCCCCGTTCCAGAGCCTGGGGATCCTCAGCCCACACCCCCGACTCAAGGCGCACCAATAAGGAGTCGGGTCCTCCCTGCACTCAGCTGCTCTGCTCCCGGGCGGCCGCATTTGCTGTAAACTCTGCGAGTTTGGAAGCCGACTTCTGAGCCGCCTACCGGCGTTGGGGAAAGAGCAGCTGAGCCGAGTTAGGACCCTAGAAAGCTCCGAAACAGCCAGAACCTCCTGGGGGCGGACGCGTGCGCTCCTCTCGAGTGTAAGCGCACGCTCTGGGCCAGCCACCCAAACTGCAGGACGCTAACAAGCTTCCAGCTGATACTTAACGCCAGAGCGGAGGCTACTCGCCACAGTGAGGGTCTTAGGCCAGAGAGCAATTAAGTCTTCCAGAGCGGGGGAGGGGAAAGGAGGGGCGCGCGCCCACTTACCATTCCTGAGCAGAGGCTGATGACGGCCGTGTGCTCGGACTTGGTATTGACATGGCCTTTGTAGAAACAGTGCTTGAGTTCTGCTTCCTCCTCGGAATAAAACCTTGTCTGGTTTTCCGCGGGCGCCCCGAGGAGGGTGACAGTGAACAGTGGAGCGATAAATCCGGCATGGGCGGTGAGATTAAATAGAAACTGCTGGCCGAAGGCGGAGAGGCGGTAATGCTCCTGGGAGGAGGTAGAGGAGGAAGAGGAGGAGGCGAAGGCAGGCCAGGGGTCAGAGGCAGAGTTAATGCTCCGTCGCCTTCTTTTGAAGTGCACGTTCGTGGGAAAGGGTTCTCCAAGAGCATTCACTCGGATGGGAGACGCGATTTCGTATTCCCTCAAGGTCTCTAATAATTTCACTGCAGAGAGAAGCAGAGGCACATAAAACCATTAATTCAATTTTCCTCAAGTTTTAATTTAAAATAAAATTGGGGGCTTTGTCCTGAGTTATTTTCCAGCAGTTCTTTTCTCTGCCCATTAGAATCAACCCTTTCGCCCTCAGTCAGTAGACAAATATTTGCTGAGCACCTACTATGTGCCAGGAATAGCTAGGAACTATGCTAGGCACAGAGGATACACCACTAGGAGCCAAACAACGAACAAGTCAAAATAAGGTAATTGCAGATTTTTGACAAATACCCTGTATAAAATAAAACATGCCTCCAGCAGTTGCCCCCAGTTACTAAGTTACGGTAGTTTGGAGCATGGGGGTTGGGAAGGGGAAAGAGGAAAAGGGTAGGGGGATAAATTCGTTTCACGGTGTCTCTCTCTCTAGAAATTAGCTGGGAATGACCTAAAGGGAGAGGCTGCAGGGCGGGAGATAATTCTTTCTAGGAAAAGGAAAGAGGACTCCGCTGCGGGGTGCCCGCTCCCGGGCGTAGAGGCTAAGGGAGGTGGCGACAGGGGCGGAGGAGTCCCGGGGGCCGGTGCCTTGTTACCTTGCCTCGGGTGCAGCCTGTCCTTGCGCACGGCCGCCGCGGAGTCTGGGCTCCCCATCTCTGCCAGGTCCCGCACCAGGAGAGTTAGCAGTGTGGCCCAGGATACAAACTGCATGGTGCTCCCCACCCCTCCCCCCACT